GGACTTGTAGCCAAAAACGGTAAAATATTTTACCTGGGTATCACACACAAAGAAAGTGACAATTCCATAATTTTTCATAGGACATGAAATTTTTTGGAGCGTTTTCATTGTAAAATACTTTACATGATGAAATGGAGGGCACAGCACATTACATTTCGACACACGTTACATGCACTTGAAGAAGCATTCGCAACCAGGGCTCTAAGCTGCCCCACGTGAACCACAGCGGGAGGTCTTTCTGCACTGGGGAGGGGCGTGTTGCAGGCCTGTTGACCACAGCCTGTACCCCCAGCCTCGGCCAGTCAAATAGGGTCTGCAGTGTGACCACATGGTCTTAGGGTTTGTCCCATTTGTAAAAGATGTTTAATCATGACCACAAGTTGCTCTTTCTTCCACTCCAACTTCCTTTCCCAAAGTTGACACCAGTCCTAAGAACATGCATGCATTACCTATCACAAGTTGTGAACCTAGAGGAAGGGCTGTTTTCTTTTTCTGTACGCAGAAAATAACCTTACTAATTATGATCAAATGAAGAGGCAGTCAAACACTACGCAGCCAAGAAATGCAGAAAATTTGGGCTGTCGGAAAAGTCATGATGTATTTTTTCTGTTTTTTGTTGCAAAAATGCATCATGACTTTCCCGACAACCCAATAAAAGGTGCTATCAAGATGTGTCCGGCATTTAAGTAAAAAAGTATATATATTTTCTAAATTTTGTATGTTTGTAGTATTTACCAGCTTTAAAAATTGTAATTTATTGTGATTTTTTTCTTATTCTAAAAATGTATTTTGTATCTAATTTTGTATGTTTTTAAAAAGAGTTTCTCCAAATTGTATATGCTTTGTACCCCACCAATACTGGGTCCTTCCTCTGGGGGAGTGGACACATAATTTTTGGAAAATAAGCTTTGTTTCCCCTTTCTAACAAATTCATTCTTCGGTCATACCTGAGCTATGACTAATTTCTCAAAATGGCCCTCTGTGCCATCTGTCATACGAGACCTCAGAGAGCTGAAGGGACGCCCTCAACACAGCCTCAGTCCCAGAGGCAGAGCTCTGACCCCCACCCGCAGGACCTGGGCTGGGGTGTTCCTGTCCAGTGCTCACATCTGGCTGATCAGACCTCAGACAAGGACAGGTATCTTACTCATAATACCACAGACTGAGCACCTTAACCAACAGACATTTCTTTCTCACAGTTCTAAAAGCTGGAAGACCCAGATCAAGGTGCTTGTAGATTCGGTGTCTGGTAAAGCCCTGCTTCCTGGCTCGTAGGTGGTCACCATCTGGCTTTGGGCTCTCAGGGCCTTGCCCGCAGTCTCCTCCTCTTCTTATGAGGGCGCTGATCCCATCATTGGCCCCACCCTCATGACCCCATCTGACCCTAATCCCTTCCCAAAGGCCCCATCTCCAAACACCATTGCATTGGGGGTTAGAGCTCCGACCTGTGGATTTTGGGGGGTGACACAGACATTCAGTCCACAGTACCAGGTGATGAATAGCCATCTCTAGAAATGCTGCAGGTGACTATGAGAGGGTCTGTACACCCACACGGTCCATCTCCTCCACAAACAGCCTTTATACCTACTTTCTTTATTCTCCAAACATAGCACAAAGTCCCTGACATCTGCCTTCACAGAGTCACTCCCTCAGTGGTCCCATTAAAGCTATGTGGCCAGGAGACAAGAGGGGGGGAAGCTAACACTTCTCGTGGACACGCCCCAGGACCGTGTCTTCACGGGGAGTGAGTGGGGGCAGTGGTGGTGGACTCCCTGGACGTGGTGGCTCCTCTCAGCCCAGACACATCAGGACCCCGGGTTCCAGCCCTTATTTCCTACTTGCCTGACAGCCTTGGGCAAGCTCCCCTTGCCTGAATCCTCCTTGGCAAACCAAGGGATTTAGACCCCTTAGCAAGACGGCCCTCTGGCTCAGGTGTGCTGCCGCCACAAATGAATTTCACACTATAATTCACAAGGAGAGAAAACTGCATTGAAGTTGGCCAGCATCACCCAGACACAATCTGTAGTTTCTGGGGCACGTCTGCTGCGTTTAAAACTGCATTAGCGAAGATTTATAACCTAACATAGGTCCCATAGTTTTCGAAATATGCTACCTTTCCATCCGTGTTTTCTGTGGGCCACAAGAGGTCTACTACACTGAACCGTGGTATAAATCAGAGGTTCCAGAATGAACTCTTGTATTTCCACATCTGACTCTCTATGTCCTCCCCTCAATGAAAACTGCGAGCATTTGACGTCACCATGGGTGTCCCTTGGCCTTTACTTCTATGCTCATCAATGACTCAAATCAATTCGTATTTCCTAACCTTCTGCAACGTGCTTGACATTACGGCAATGTGTATGTGCATAAACGTATCTTGAATCAAGTTCATGGAGCTCAGCATTAAGTGTCACAAAAATTAAGTTCTGTTTCTGGATCTGAGAGCCTCCTAGGATTTCTAACGTCTGCAGATGTGGGAGGTCCTGGGTCAGGCAGGCCAGTCATGCAAGTCTCAGAAGGGGTCATGCAGGAAACACATACCCTGAAGCACAGCTGGGGTGAGGGGAGCTGACAGGGAATGAGAAGCAAGCAGCTGGTGGCTGACTGGAGCCAAGCTGCGTCCAGAAAGAGTTGGGAGTGGGAACTTCAATCCGCAGCAGGGAAAATCAAGGGGCCAGATGAGCTTGGACAAGGCACCGTAAACACTGGGACGACGAGAGAGTTGGCAGGAGGTCCATCCCCCAATTTCAGCACCCCAACATGGCCTTCCACACCCAGAAATCCTACCTTCCTCCTTGCTGCAGTGTGTGGAGGGGACACGGGGAGGCCACCATTCCCCACAATAAGAGTGTGTCTGCACAGAAGAGAAACAGAGCACACTCTGACCACGTCAGGGGGCACAGGCTGGCACACAGAACACAGTGAGGCAGCAGGGCTGTGTGCCAGCACCCACGTCCATCCTTTGTCCAGCAAGCATTAAATGCAGTCCCGTGCTCAGGCGTGACAAGATGGGGGCCCAAAAACCATGGCAGAAAGATAAACACAGCACTTACGGTTCAAACATACACAAGTATGCAGTGCGAGTGTGCCCACTCAGAGCCTACCCACTGCCTCTTTTCTACACCCAGCCAGATGGGTCCCCTTGAACCTTAGTCGAATCCTCTTTAACACCCTCCCCAAAGTGGACAGACTGGCTTGCCCAAAGCAAGCTCTCCCATTACCACGGAGCCCTCCGAGCACTCTCCAACCTCAGGGCCCCTGCACATGCTGTTCCCGCGCTGGATGGTACTCACTGTTTTCAGGTCTCTGCTCAAATTTCTCCTTTGCAACAAGGCCCTTCCTCACCACCCACCATAAGACAGTGCCAGGTACTCTGACCCAGTACTATTCTACTCCCTTTCTTATGTGTACCAATATCCAATACAGTTTCCATGCAGACGCTCAGTATCTGCTTCTCCCACTGAGACGCAGACTCCACGAGGCAGATGCATGTGTGGCTCAAGCCGCCACTTCCAATGTCCAGAATGGTGCTGGCATTTGGTGTCTCAAACAACTACGGACGCCAGTAAATGTTGGTCCACTGATGCACTAGCCAATTTAAATGGTTGCAAAGTAGGCAGGAGACACATTCTTTAGGAAAGCCTGAAGGAGGCCTGAGAAGAATCAGTGGGGCAGAAACTGACAGCGGGCAGAGCCCCTGGGCTATCCCAGGGCAGGTGGCTGCTTGCAGCACCCCATCTAAGTGTGAAGCGGGCAGCTCTCCCTGACTGCAGCCATTCCTCAGTGGGCCTGAGAGCACGCATCTGAACCAGCAAGAAGGTGGAAGGCCTCAATCACTGTTTAGATTATGCAACTTGTGGCTGACCAAACACACCAGACACCATATATGCAGTCCTGTGACATTTGTGTTGGAAATTATTCCTAGGAAGATGGTAAAAGTCCAAACCTCAGGGGAAAATGAGCTGACGGGTGCCACACCGAGGAAAAAGTGTCTTCCCACCACGTGGTTTCTGCCGGTGGCCGTTACCGCATCCACTAAACCATTGTTCCCGTCATTGCTGGTGCCAACCCGCTGGTCTGTACTTGTTTTTAGTATCACTTTTTAAAATAAGAGTATGTGTTTTAGATAATTTCTCAAATAATAGGTATTATGGTAAAGTCTGAGGAAAATTCTTTAAATGGATACTTAGGGAAAAACATTTTATTTCCAGGAAAATTTTACAAAGTCTGCTTGCCTGATCACAGGGCTGCATTACCCTTCGTAAGTGTCCAGCTGAGAAGCTGCCCACTGAGGCACCCCGTTAGCATCTGTGGATGGTCACTGAGCAGTGACAAACAGGCAAGCGTGCCCTGCCGGCAGTGCCACTGTGTCGCGTGGCCAGAGTACCTCGGGAATAAGGCTAACACCTGCCCAAGACAGCTCCTTCCCTTCTCCAGAGCACGGACCCCAAACCAAGGTAGCCTGCATTTCCAGGACCGGAGTACGGAGGCTTACTGACCACCACAGATCACAACGAGCACCCCTCAGGCTGCTCACCTCGTCTCTGGGGTTAGAAGACTGAAGGGTACAAACCGGCCTGCGATCAGACGCCTGCACTACCTTTCACTGAGCTACATACACTCAGCAGATTTTCTGTAGCACCCGCCCTACTGGCACTATGTTCCAAGTAAAAAGAAAAGTAAAGTCTGAGATCTTGGGGAAAATGGGAATGAACAAACTGTGGTGTTTTTAGTTTAGATGGATAGCCACAGATATTGCTACATGTCCTATGTTTGCCATTAAAAGCAGACTGTGACTGAATAACATTAAATTATGTCCCTCAGGGCCCAAGAAGAATGTTCACATTCTTACGGCAGGCCACCATGCGTGTTGTCAGGTGATAGCGTGTGGCCCCTTCCCGTGGGGTCACATGGGTCCAGTAATGGAAAGCCTGAGTTACCCCTGGTTGTCCAAGCAGAACCTGGCAATATGGGGTGAGAGGAAAAGATACAATACTTACAAAAACTTTCCATTTGTCTTTGAGCCTATCAGGACAATTTGCTCAGATTCCACCCGAGAGATTTTTCCGTGGAACCAGGGCATTTTCTCATGGGCTGTGGTGGCGATCAGCTTCTCCAACTGAGGCTTCTGGCTGATAATGGCCTGTTCCAGAGCTTGACCCTGCCACAGTGGGGAGAGCAGAGCGACGACACTAAGTTAAATGAAAAATGACACAGAAATCACTTCCCATCTGTCCTAAGTCCAGACATTGCAAAGTGCAATCACATTTGTTTGTTCTCTTGTTCATATTCATTCATTCAATAAGATCTTATATATTATTTAAATACCTTTAAGGATGTAAATAACAAATTAAATTTTAAAATACTGAGATTATTGGCCTTTTAAAAGCTACATCAGCTTTAGAAACCGCCTGGTATAATCCATGAGGTTTAAAGAACATGCCTCCTGCCCTCTTCAGGTGTGTAGTTTACTAGAACTGATCGTTCTATATCAAACCTGATCATTTGTTAACAATTAAGAAGTCTTAAGATGTGTGTAACAAAGGAGACATAAGCTTTCTGTCTGCCTCTACAAGGCTGCACTCTGCACACTCACACACAGTGCTGCCTATAACTGGAGGCAACGTGATCACACCAAGTGCAGGAGGCAGACCTTGACAATGCAGAAATGACAATGTGAAAATAAAAATGGGAGAGGGGCTGAGAGCTGGGTGAATTCACTTCCTCTGAGTGGGAGAGAAATACACATTCTGCACAGTAGTAAATAGAGAACCAAAGTTTGATTATTTGCAGTTATAAAAAGAACGAGAAATAAAAAATATAAATATAACCAATCCAAACTAAGAATAGGAAGGCAGGAGGTTAGAAAGAAGGGAAGATGAGTATAGAAGTTTTGTCATACTTCACAGATGAAATGAAAAACCAAAGCAGCAATAAGTTACATACCAGAGATCTTTGAAACAAATCAAGTAGAGGCCAAAGTGAAAGGGTGGGGGACACTACTCAACCATGACAAAGAATGACCCGCGGACAGGTGAGGCCACACAGCGGACATGCAAATGCATTATGTTGAGTGAAAGAAGCCAGTCTGAAAAGGCTACATGCTGTGTGAGTTCATTTGTATAGCATTCTGGAAAAGACAAAACTACAGGACAGAAATCAGATGAGGGGCGCCAGGGGCTACGGTGGGGGCTGGCTCCAGGGTGCTTGATGGGTGACAGGACTGTTTCATATCTTGGTTGAGGTGAGGGCTACATTATGCTATGTGTTTGTTAAAATGCATAGAATTGCACACCTAAAAAGGATGGATGTTACAGTGTATAAATTACATCTGATTTATCTGTCTTTAGAGAGAGTTAAGAGGACAGTCTAAGACACATCCAATGAATGCTAATGAAAAATCCTGGGCACACAGTATTATTATCTGTCTGCAAGGCTGAATTTAGTACAGGACATATTAGAAGAGTAAAGACAGTCACTGCACATAATCCTCAAAAGCCTGTGCAGTCCTAACTCTGTATCAGACAACAAGCAGAAGGCAGGACGCACACATGCAGGAAGTGCAGGAGGGATGGCTGAGCACAGAGGGCCAAGCAGGAGACCATCCACCACCTCAGCCTGTGGCCTCCTGACATCAGGTGCTGTTGAGAGTGTGGAGGAATGTAACTTGTCATGGCCTCTGGGACTTTTCTGGATGACGACTTGTCAATACACACAAATTAAACCCACACGCCCTTCGCTGTCACAAACCCAACCTGTTCCGGGTTATCCCGCAGATGCTGCCTGAAAGCTCAGAAGGATGGGTATAGAGAGATGTCACTAGCAGCATTACTTGTCAATAGTGAAAGTTCACATCAACAGGTACTAAATAAATTACGGTGCATAGGAAGGAACAGGAGGCAGCCAGAAACAGGTTGGTGCAGCCATGTGTGTGCTGACACAGAAAGGTCTGCAGTAGATGTTAAGAAGCTATAAAATCAAATGCCAATCAGTGTGTCTGGTATGGCCCTCTTGGGTGAATAAAAAACAGAAGATGCCTGTGTTGCCTCTGAAACGGCCCAGCATGACTGGGTGACAGTGGCTTTCTGCGGTGAAGAAACCCACATCGCCGCCATGCAGGGACTGCCCTCTCAACTGTGAGACCATAAAAAGAGGCAAGGCTGCCTTCTTGGAGTGAGGCATTTTTTTTGTCCAAGTTGATGACTAAGGAGATGGCTGCTTATCTGAGGCACCACTGCCAGGCTCTGCACGGACTGGGAGGCTGTGTGGAATTCCAGCGCGAGAGCGCGCGCGAGAGCACGCGCGGCGGAGGGACCGGCCGGGGCACACCTGCAGGTTCCAGGTCTGCTTCACATACTCCCGGATGAGGTTCTCCTTCAGGTCTTCGAAGGGTCCGGTCTTGGGCTGCATCCCAGGCGGCCGGTTGAGGGGCTTCTTGAGGAGGCAGATGAGGCCATCCGACTCCTGGGAGTGGTACTGGCAGAGCTCGGCAGGGCCGGCGTGCGTCCTGCCGCCCGCGATGGCGTAGGTGCCGTTCAGCTCCCGCTCGATGGTGTAGTGGTGCGCCTTGCGCGCATATGCCACCGACAGGGCGAAGCCGCCCAGGTAATTGCGGCTTTGGCGCAGCAGGTAGAGCCCGTCGCTCATGCCGCCCTGGACCAGGTAGTCCTCGGCCTCCTCCCGGGTGATGTTGCCAAAGAAGAAGGGCAGGTGGTTGGCGCTGTCGGCCATGCCTGCGGCCATGCTTGTTTCCCCTCAAGGCCAAGGGCGCACGGTGTCCACCTGGCAAAACAAGGTGGCACATCAATCAGCACCCGAGCAGCAGAACAGATGTAAAATCGCTAACCTTCCAACCCTGGATAGAGGCCCTCCCTCAGGGGAAGCCCTTCCCTCCTGGGCCTTTGCGTATTGCTCTAACCAACGTGCTATCCACCCGTCTGCTCACATAATCGTTAGATTTTCAAACACACATTCCCAATATGGAGCCCCAAAACAGCACGAGACAAACGTGGCCACAGGAAGTTTACTTTTTTCTTTGGTAGAAACAGAGAATTCTAAGAGGCACACTGAAAAGAGAAGTCGTATTGAAAATAGGGCTTGGGAGCTGGTCCTGACAGCAGGTGCACCGGAGGGGCCCTGAGGCGCACACGCACACCGCTTTCTCCAGATGGAGACAGCTGGAAGGAACACTTGCTGTGCAGAGCTACGGGCACTGAAGATGTCACTGAATACTCCTCACCTGCAAATCAAGACTCTACTGTGTCATACGCTGTAGGGAGACACCAGGGAGCTGAAGTGCCAGGCATGGGTACACACCACTTAAAACTGTGATGGCGGTCACCATGGCTTGTACAGTTTGGGTCAGAGATGGGACCAACAAGCCGTTGCCATGAAACCTGAAGAATGACATCCTCCCAGAGCCCCCGGTCTTGGGCTGCACACTGTCCCCTCCCTGCCTCTTCCAGACCACTTCTGGATACCCACCATGCACCATTCCATATTGAAGAAATAGTACAGGTTCCACGTTTGATGAGGATACCTGTCACAGAGAAGATACTTCTTCACTAAACAGACACAGAAACTCAGACACAGACACACAGAGACACACACAGACACATATACACACACAGATACAGACATAGAAACACAGAGATACAGGCAAACAATTATGTGAAACAGCCTTTTCTCAACGTTACTTATCCTACAGGTGATTGTAATCATAAGCATGCCTACCCAATAGAGGCAGTAGGCTTTCTCTAGGCAACACTGACAAAGCAATAACACGTGAGCTTATAATTTGATGGTACAAATACTTTTCTTGCTTGCTTTTAACATTTGACTATCAATGATTAATTTTTCTTTGTCCAGTTCCTAAAAATTCACCTCTAAGTTTTTGTTTTGTTTTGTTTTCTAAGTACAGTCCACATTTATATTTAAGTCTAAGGACACTGTTAACAAAGAAGACATCTCTGGAGAGAAGATGAGTCAGTGTGTCTTCTGGAATCACTACCTCTCTTCTGTGTCTTTCTTCCTCTGGCTAATTCTTCTGGGACGCTTATGTGCAGGTTCAGCCCCAGCCCTCAACAGTGAGGCCCTAGTGCTCCTTTCTCACACTCTGCTCTGTTCTTGCAACAAGTTTTCTAGGGCCTCACCCACTCTGTGCTGTTAGCCCACCTGCACTTCCAACTCTCCTCCTCTGCAGTCCAGCGCTTCCCAAACTTCCACATGCATGCACATCACCTGAACTCTGAAAATACAGGGGCCTGCGGGCTGCAAGGCCAAATATCTTGGTGATGTTGCTACTGGTCCCTGACCACACCTGCGGCCAAGATCTCCATTGCCACCTGCCTGCCTTCCCCACCCAGGTGCTGCCCGGTCAGAATCTCAGAGTTCTTTGGGAGCCCTTGCTTTCTCTCAGGCTTGTTTTGCAAATGACTTAGGTGTAAGCTCCTGGCTCTCTGCATCCATTACCACCATCTGGGCTAACCACATTATCCCCAGCTGCTCATCTGTAAGCACTCTGGCTGCTGGTCCGCATCCCTTCCCTTCCTATTCCTTCTCCATCAGTGGTCCCCGCAGCATGTCACCACCTCTCCCGTTGCCATCCCTTCTTGTCTGTCAGCCTCACTCCTAGCAGGCCCCGTCCCCAGGCCACAGCTGCCCTCTCTGGTCCTGGTTCTCACTCTCTCTGCTTGGGGAGGGGGTTGGGGGTGCACGGTCTTAGAGACTTGCCTCAGACACATCCTTGCTGTTAGCTGTCCCTACTGTTCTAGATCCCTGACATAGCTGCCGCCTATCATAAGCCTCAACTAAAACCTTAAGTCTTCAATAACAATAGTTTAAGTGCTAACAAATACTTTTTAATTTATATAAATCTTAACACGATTAGTTGTTAAATTCATCGGTTTGTTTCTAACATTTACATTGGTGCTGGCCTCTCCTGTGAGTTCCACACCGAAGCGAACTGACATGAAGTGGACATGCTGTGACGATGCAGCCTGCCAGGGCTTGTCCTCCAGGCACATGCGGGTGCTCCGGTATGGCTCTAAGGGGACGCTGCAGACTCAGCTCCAAGCAGGGGACACTTCTGGCTTCCCTTAAGGCAGAAGGTCTGGCTGAGCTGGGTGTCAGCAGCCCAGGGCCCAAGGTGTGACTTCCTGTGTTGGAGGTGACGCCCGGTGCATTGTTGTTGTTGGTGGTGGTTTTGACAGTAGGGATGGTTTACTGCAAGGACAACTCTGGTCCATCCTTGAAGTATTTAATTTGGGGGATGAACAACTTCTGTGATGCCTCATTGGTTCCCACCGGTGCCCATCCAGGGCCTTCTCCCACCCTCCAACCTCCTTTCTACAACAACACAAGCCATGGTGATGGGGACTGTCACCATTCTAGCCACTGTCCATAGGAATCTGTCACCACACTACTGTTTTCAGCCCTGTTTTTCAGATATTAGTTCTCGCTCACTATGGAAAATCCCGAGTTTTGCTTTTGCGTTCAGCCTTAGTTGGGACACAGCTGTCATGGCAACAGCTCCTGTCACTGTTGGGGCAGGAACAGACAGAGGCATCCACTGTGCACTTTCCTCCACATGCCCACTGACTCAGCCACCCACCCTGGAACTCACAGGCACTGCTTAAATCTGCCTTTTCCTTGGACCCCCGGGCAAGTCAGAAGTTCAAACTCTAACACCCACCAGAAAAATTTTTTCTTCAAGTCCCTACAACTTGCTACCTTTTTTTTTTGGTCTGTTTCAGGGGTCGGCAAACTTTTGAGATGGAAGAGCTGCCAGGAGTCAGCAAACTGTGGCTCGCAAGTTTGGGTACGTACATGTGGCTCTGAAGTAAAATTGAAAATGAAAACAAAACTATCATAGTTTCATTTATAAAAATTTTAAAGAATATTATTCACATAATGTGATTATGTGAAAACATATTTATGGCTCTCGAATAATTTTTAAATTGTTGTGAGGGACAGGATTGGCTCTTCCAGGGGTCGGCAAACTTTAGAGACGGAAAATACCGAAAGAGCTACATGTGGCTCGCGAGCCACAGTTTGCCGACCCCTGGTGTATTTCAATATTACCAATTATTTTTTTCCATGTGTGAAACAACTTTGTTCAAAAGCTTAAAACTGAGAAACAAAAGAGGCCTTGGGCCCCAGGGACCAGACCCCTTCCCTCCTCCCAAACTGCCAATACCTCAGCTGGTGCACATCCGCACAGGTAGCTTTTCAGGGATGTGAGGCTTCAGGTTATTGTCAGGTGAGCTCCTCAAAGCACCGCACTTTCACTTGCTCATTTGGGGCCATTTTATGACATAGGAGGCTACATGTGCATTTCGTGATAAAAAAAGTTTTGTGACATGAAATAATGTTTTGTGATCCCTGTTTCATTTTTCTCCATACGTGACAGCCCTTAACACACTGTAACTTATGTTGAACTTGATGCTCGGCTCGGTTCCCCTACCAGGGAGAGGAGGAGCGAAGAGGATGCTTTTGTTCGCTGCCTTGTTTCGCTCCTGGAATAGTCCTGCACGTGGCGGGTTGTCAAAAATATTTGTTGAGTAATAGGTAAGATTAAGTGAAAGCCAATTTCAAAATAAGGGGTACAGAGCAATCCAGTTTTGTTTTTTAAAAGGTTTATACACACATATGTAATAATACACACACTGAGGTGAGAAAGAAGGCAAGTCTGAAAGGACGGTGGGTAGCGTGGAAGGACCATGGGTGCTTTTACTGACTTCTGTATTCACTGTCCAGACCTCTGTACCACCCCTCTGCCTCTTCCACCCCCTGTCCTCCGCCTGGCCTTTACTCCCATGCTCCATGAATCTCTTCTTCCCAGTGTCACCAACGTCTAAGTGGCCAAACCCAAGGTCACCCATCTGGCCCTATCTCTGATCTCCAGGCAGCACGTGACGCAGCCCAGAGCCACCAGTTCAGTGGGTCAATCTCTCACCTTTGTGCCCCCTCTCCCCTCCAGGGCTTCTTTCTTGTCTTACTCTGCAACCCATGCTGGGTGTCAGCCCCGTCTTGTCCTTCTATATGGCCCCACTACCAACAAAATGCCCAGGAGCATTTTTACATTCACCTCTCTCTCCACGGTGCGCCTGGCCCGCATGCTGCTTGCCTGACGTCCCCACCTGATTGAAACTCATTCTTCACATGCCTAGAATGGGGCTTTCAAGGGCTCACGCACGCTCCTCCCTGTGCCTCTCCTACCTCAGGAAATGACACCAACCATAACCAGTAGCTTGGGATGAGACCCTAGAGCGTTTCAGGGTTCCTCCCTCTCACTCATCGCGCATGTCTAACACTGAGTCAGCAAAGACGTGTCTTTTACCCAATGCGTCCATCCCATACTTGGATGGGTTCCCTTAGGAAGCGTGAACTCCGTGCAGGACTGTGCTCCACTGGGGCCAGGCCACCGAGCAGGAGGCTCGACAAGCTGGTCTCCAGGGATCTCTCATCAGCTTTTCTCTAAAACATCCCAAACCATGGCTTCTGTCTCCCCGGACACCACCCTCGTGGAAGCTGTACCACCTCTCACTCACATCGATGGGAGTTTTCTCCAGTCTTCGTCCATCGGCCCTCCTCGTGGTCCATTCCCTACAAAGCTAGCAGCGTGAGGCTGGCAAGCCATCTCCTGTCCCCACTGCATCCCAAACCCTCTTTGAGCCCTACTTCCCTGCATGGTTTGGCCTGAGCCCCTTCCTCATCTTGCCTATTCATGCCCACGCTCACCACGTCCAGCCAAACCATGCTCCCTCCTGTCCTAACGTGTG